TAAGGAGGAGTTTTCAGTGGCAAAAGGATTGATAATTATCAGACACAAATTTCAGGTGATTAGAAAAGGAACAAAGTGAGATGTGATTGCTTTTTCAAAGAAAGCAGTTGATTGTTTTCTCGAATGAACTGCCTGTAATGATGGTGGAAGCAGGTGCACTAGTGACTGTCGTCAGGGAGAGAGACAAATATTTGAAGGAGAAACACTACAGTGTACACGCTCACAAAGTTACCGTTTGTGGCACACTGCACTGGGGTAATAATGGACAGTGTCCTCACCTCGGGACCTCTGTCCCTTTGGCCTCAGTGAGAAAAGGAGCTGCTGCAGAGCAGTCTCTGTGTGAGGAGACCAAATCAATTTGGTTAGGACTAAGACGAGAGTTGGTATGAGAATTTCACTGGTCTCCATTTGGAAAAAAATCCCAATGACCTTTCGTGAGATAAGTAATGCTACTTACACAGGACATGGAGGGTTCCAACCTGTTGTTTAATAACAGGGCTGGTCATTGACTGATCTTGAAGTTTCAGTTCAGCCTCACAGATATACTGCTGTCCATTCAGCTTTGCTTGAGCCTGTACTGTATGAGAGATAGTGAGCCCAGTACTGCTTGATCCATTCGTTAATATGTCATTTTCTTTCTTCAGTCTGAGTTCAAGATCCCCTGAGACATTTAACACACGGCACGTAATGTTAACCAGATTTCCTTCATGGCTGGTTGGTATTTGGATTTCGGGGGAAGAGAAAACTAAAAACAACAGAAAGATACTGTTAGAAACATTCCTTTATCAGTGCGGTCTCTATAGGGATGACGATGAGATGTTGAAGTAAAAGTAGGTAATTTGTCCCCTTGAGTCCGCTCTGCCATTTAGTGAGATTATAGTTTATCTGATCACCTTCAGCTTTGCTTTCCTGGCTTGTCTCAATAAGCTTGAATCCTTTACTGATTAAAAATCTGTCTATCCCAGCCTTTAATATTCCTACTGATTCATTCTCACCTTCCCTCCTATGGTGAAATATTCTACAGATTCAATATGGAAATACAACCTGCTCACATCAACTTTAAATGGGCAGTCCCTTATTTTGATACTATGCTCTCTGATCCTAGACTCTCCCACAAGGGGAACAAACCTCTCTACATTAACCCTGTCAAGCTCACTATGAACTTTGTCTGTTTCAGTACGATCTCCTCTCATTCTTGTAAATTCTAATAAGTACCAGCCCAAATTACACACCCTCTCCTTATAAGAAAATCCCTTCCATGCCCATGATCAACTAAGCAAACCTTCTTTGAACTGTGCCATTCCCTTTGAAGTGAAGGCCAACACTTATTGGGGATTTGCCTTCCCCAGTTACCTACTGAACTTGGATACTAGCTTTATGTCATTCTTGTAATTGGATGCTAAAATCCCCCTTTGCTGTACCTTTCTGTATTTCCCTGTTGAAGTAATGGTTAGCTCCTCTATTCTTCCCGCCAAAGTGCATAACCTCACATTTTCCCACATTGTATTCCATGTTTTTGCCCACTCATTTAACCTGTTTGTGTCCCTCTGTCGATTCCTTGTGTCATCCTTTCCATTCACTTACCTCATCCAAATCATTAATATATCGTAAATAATTGTGGCCCCGGCAATGATCCCTGTGGCATTCCCCTCATTATTGATCCCTTTATCCTAACTTTCTATCTTCTATTAGTTCGGCATTCCTCTATCCAATTGTGTGCTAATATCCTGCACCCAACACCATGACT